TGTGTGAAATAGTACAAAACTGTACTTTCTCTAACGTTAGTCATTTAAATAATTATATGTTTATACATTTTCAAAATATATGTTCAGTTTCATTTATAATATTTTATTTTAAGTTTAAAATGAATTAGAGGGAGAAAGAGAGAGTACAAAAATGCTACTTTCTATAACATGTTAATTTTCAATAATTTTATGTTTCTAACAGTATTGTTATTTATAAAATTTTTTAATGCATATTGTGAGATATTGGAAAAGCAGGCTGTAATTATAAGTCTTGTATATTTTGATATTTTTATATTATAATTTTATTATAAATAAACAATATTTTCAAAAATCAAAGACAACACATTTTCATTATTTTTGTAAAACATTTGTATTTAATAATGTCGACATAAAGGAAAAAGTTTTATTAAAAATTCATAATATACGTTGCCACTGCCATGGAATACTCCCTTCTGCTGAAACAAAATATTGAGCAAGAATGTCTCGTTGTCTCATAGCAGCAGCTGTACCGATATTGGCACCAACTCGTCCTAAAGGATTAATAAAACCATTTTCTCTAATTTCATTTCGCCAATTCCCTGGTATTATTTCGCCATCTACTCCTTCTTTATCTATCATTTCATCATGTAAATAATTATTATCGTTTAAGTTGGTGCTTATAATATAGTTATGCAAACAAGTTATAGCTTGCAAAATTTTCTCTACAGTACTTAATTTCTGAGCTATAGGTTTTTGTAATATTCGCCATCGTGCTACAAGAATGCCGAAAGCATTCTCGACAATTCGGCGTGCTCTCGACAATCGATAATTAAATATTTTTTGTTCATTATTTTGTAAATTTCTTTTTGCGTATGGACGCATTAAATATGTTTTCAGTGGGAAGCCTTCGTCACCAACAAGAGAAAATGGCAACGGATAATTCGTATTAGGCACAGGATAAGCTGCTAGCACAGATAGAGTATTACTTTCAAATGCTTGTTTTATTGTTGTATTTGACCAGATTCCAGCATCATTCAGTGAACCTATAAAAAACATATATTATACATATATAAATATATCCTATAGCTGGTTATTCTTTAAAATAAATTTTATTTGTAATACTCATATAGTTTAATTTTACCGTAATTTCCAATGTCGACCCAAATAAAGCGATAACAAGCATCTACGATAGCCATTAATACGAGGCTAAAATATCCCTTATAATTGTGGAAAGCACTACCCGAATTTGGTGGAGCTTGAATTCGGCAGTGTTTCCCATCAATTGCTCCAAGACAATTGGGAAAATTCCACTTATTATTGTACTCATTTGCGATTTTTAGCCACTCATGTGCTTCTTGTGGACATCGGAGGTATGTTGGTTGCAATACTTCCCATATACCATTACAAACTTCGGGAATAATGCTGTATACAGTTGATCTTCCTATTCGATAAAATAAAGAGGTAGTGGTCACTTTATCTCCATGAGCGAGAAAACTAAAAATAAATTTAAATTTGTTGTGTATGTGTAAAAATTCATAATTTTTAGAACAAATAAAGTGTAGGTAATCTATATTAATAATCGCAACAGAGAATAATTGTTAAACTAACCTTAATGTCACCGCAATACGTATCTCCGTTGGTAGAGGTTCTCTACGACTACGTTTTTTTAATTTTGGTTTTAATAATCTATTTAAATTGTCAAATTGTTCCACTGACATTCTTGTCAGTTTGAAAAATTCTTCGTGATTATTCATTTGGAAATATATAAATAATGTATGATGAGCACCAAAATTTTGTCTCATATTTCTAGTAATATGGGGATTTACCCACCATCTTCTTATAATTCCTTTTTTACATTTTCTTACACATAATCTCACTCTTATAATTTGCATCCAAATAAGTAATAAATTTAAATAAATATTCAACGTTTCAATTTCCATGACGTCTGACTATTCCGACTTGCAACGCAATTGTAGACTAGCTAGTCGTATTCATACCCGACATACAACACGCGACAAGCGACTAACGACATCCGACTCCGTCATCCGATTTAATGTAGAACGGGTCTAAGGCCTGGTCTACAATCAGTCGGGTGACGGTGTCGTATGTCGTGCGCATGCGCACAGCCTTGATTTTTACGTGTCGGCTGTCGGCTGTCGGGCGTCGTTGTCGTTTAGAAGATGGGCAAGTTCCATCTTTTACGACACGACCAGACGTCAGACGACAATTTTAACCTCAAAATGAAAGAAAACATGAGTATATGTACAAGACAAGGTTATTATTAATATTGTACGAGACAATAAGTATCTATATGATAAAACGGACATTCATTATAAGAACAGTAATAAAAGGAAGGATATATGGAGAATGATTGCCTTTCAATTAAAAGATGTTTATAATGTAGACAAGTCAGGTAAATATTTGTTATAAATAATATATGATGTTACAAATAATATATAATATAGTATATACCCAGCAAACACTAACTAAAAGCAATATAATTATATGTCAAATTATACATAATTATGTATGAGATGAGTAACTTTTTTTACATTTCTTCAAACTTGATTTTTCCTAAAACAAACAATGCGAAAATTATCCCTTTTATTATTATCATAACATTGATATTATGCTACCGTTAATGTTTATTGGATATGATATATGTAAATACACCTGTTCTGTTAAATATATTTGTCGGTAACAATATCACGTGTCTTTTTATTATACATACATTACTGAGCAGCCATAGCGTTAATGTCTTTTTATATAAGCTGAAAATGTTGAGAAACGATGGTCATCACTTCGAGACATGTTTAGCCGCGAAGAAAGGAGAAAAAAACTGCCACCATCAAGATCAGGCAGTAGCAAAAATAAAGAGTGGCATCTGTACCGACCACTACTTTTCTTATCTTCACATATTGCTCATAGAAAGTAGGTAATTGACAATAAATTCTTTCTTGTATCTTTTTTGTATAATATTTGTGTTAAAAGCTATTTTATTTGATTCTTAGAACACAATCATCGCTCATAAAAAAACAGAGAAAATTCGAGCTCCCAACCAGTGCATTTTCAGCAAGCCTGTTCCCAGCAGATTCAGCTATTGGAAGAATATGATGATCAAGCTATGGATGAAACATCACAGGGAATATCGAAATATGTGCCAGTAATAGATAACACTTATGATAAATCACAGATCATCGGTAAAATGAGTGTTTTAATTTGTTGTTACTCATGACAAACGTAAAACGTTATTTGAATGTAAAAAATTTTCAGACGATGTCATTGAATTTCGTCCTGAATCTATAATAAGACCATTACCTAGCGATAGCTCTAGCACATTTTCATCTACTTCCACAACACCGATTTCACATATAAAATCAAAATCAAAACAAATTGTACCTCCATTGGACGATTTTGCACAACGAAAAAAGAAAAAAAGTGCTCTTTTGGACGAACAACTTGCAGAGACAGGTGTTGCAATATCTGATGCGATGAATACTGTTTCAACACTAATTGCCAATACAAATAAAGAAAAGGATGGATATATGCTTGCAATAGAAGAAGGGTTGAGACATATCCCTGGGAAAAATAGAACCCAATGCATCATCAAGGTGCTTCAGATTATTAACAAATATGAAGTTAGAGAGTAAAAAGCAGGGTCTACAATAAAATAATTACTCAAAGTCAGAAATTTGCAAGAAATTGTCCAAACACATAAATTATTCTCCTTATATTTCAAGCATAATTGATTAATTTCTTGCGACTTTGTGACTTTATATGACTACAGTTTTATTGTAGAATATCAATTTTAGATCACTAAGGTTGGAATTGCAAAAATTAGAGAGAAAGATTCCAAAAAATTGATCAAAATATATAAAATTATAGAAACTTTTTTTTACCAAAAGTACAAAGTTAAATGATAAGATTGTTAAAAATATAGGAAGTAAATTTGTTTTATTAAGAAGTACACAATTAGAGAGTTTAATTGTTTAAAATATAAAGAAAGTTTATTTCACCAAAGAGTACAAGATTAGAGAGTTAAATTGTTAAGAACATAGAATAAGTCTTTTTTTACCAAAAGGTACGAAATTAATAAGTAAAGTTCTCTCAAGAAATTACATTTTTTTAAATAAAAAAAAAATACAAAATTTACCTTAAATTTTTAAGAATGCGAAAAAATTTTTTTTACCTAAAATTAAGTAGTGGGTTTTTTACCTAAAATTAAGTAGAGTAACAAAATTACTCAATAATTTCGTACTTAACAGTTTTATCAAATAGTTTCTTATAGTATATACAACTATTAAAAATCATTTTATGAAGAAGCGTTATACACACACACACATACATCAGTTTTATAAATAATTTTATAAAAATATATAAAAAATAAAGAATTAAAGTTGTAAGCAACATAAATTTGTTTATATCATTTCCCACTGCCATGGAATGCTACCTTCATCAGAGACAAAATATTGAGCTAAACTATCACGTTGCTTCATTGCTGCAATCGAACCAAAATTCGCATTAATTCGTCCCATTCGATTTATTATAGGATGTTGCAATACTAAATTTCACCAATTGCCTTCGATAAGTTCTCCATTGGGATCTTCCTGATCTACAAAATCTTCTTA